CCCCAAAACCCCAAAACCCCAAAACCCCAAGATAGATAGCATTTATTGACCAAATATTTAATCTGTTTAAAATATTAGTAAGTTTATTTAAATGGACGCACAGCCTTTGGATGCTACTGACTCTGAAGTAGCCCTTCCTGATGAAAACCAGATGAAGAAGATATGACGATTTATAAAGACACTTAAAATGGACGAACTGCAAGAATATCTCAATGAGAATAAGATCGGACTGACCAATGCAGTGGTGAAGAAAAATGAACAACCTTTAATATTTTACTGATTTGAAATGAACGATGAAGATAGCTGATTTAATGCTTTAAAATCTCTAGTTGAGAGTTTTAAGCTTGACCCTTCTGTGATTGATAAAATTGAGCAAACTATTCTTTTCTATGCTGCAAGGGAAGGTTATGACAATGTTATCGACTGGCTGGTCAATGATCATCATCTAGAAGTTGATAAGAAAGATATGTATGTGCAAACTCCTCTTTATTATGCTTGAGCAAAAGGAAGAGAAAACACGTTATTGAAGCTGATAGATATGGGAGCTGACTGATCTTCCTTGGACCTTGAAAATCAGACTGCCCTCTTCTTCGCTGCAAGGAATGGTCATACTGAAATCTGAAACATATTGTTAACCAATAATTGCCCTGTTAATCAAAAAGATAAGAAAGGAAAAGGGGCAATAGAGATCGCATGAAAATTTAAACGAACGAAAACTGTTGAATTTCTGAAGGAAAAAGGTGCAGATATTCCACAGACGTGGGTAAATTCACAACCGAAGGCGGTGCAAAAGAATAAGGCAAAGAGAAAACCCAAAAGTGTTTTTAAAGTATACAGACTTTGAAAAATAACTAAAGGAGATGAAAAATTGGTAACTCAAGAAGAATTTGAGAACGATTTTGCTCAAAAATTTCCTGTTCTTTATAAATGACTGGTTAATAATAAATTAGAAGAGTTTAAGAAGAATATTAAAATTGCTCCATTGCCACCTTCCCCAGTGTTCTCTAGCTGGAAGAAGCTTGCTATCCGAATAGTAAAGAATTTAAAAGATTCAGAAGGAGGATGGATGTTTAAAGATCCAGTTGACATTAAGAAAGATCTTTGTCCAGATTATTATCAAGTTATAAAGAAGCCAATGGATTTATCAACGGTTTTAAAGAAGATTAAATAACAACGACTATGAACAAATGCAAGAGTACTTAGATGATCTTCGACTTATTTTTAATAACTGAATTCTGTACAATGGGGATGGAAGCACATATGGAATTGCTGCAAATAGTATGCTCACCAAGCTTGATTGACTTATGGACAAATATGGAGCTAAATATTATATGTAATTTATTAAATCATATTTTCAATTTTTATCAAAATTATAGGGGTTTTGGGGTTTTGGGGTTTTGGGG